CATCACCCTGCCCCTTCATGTCAATTCTTGTCCCAACCCTCCCTGCAGCTTGGATGGCCCAACCCAGCCCCCAGCAGGAGGTCACCACCAAGCACGACCCACCAGGCATTCATGCTCCAGTTGGGCCAGGGGAGGTTTAAATTAGGTATTTGGAACAATTTCTTCACTGGAAGGGTCCTTAACCACTGGGCCAGGCTGCCCAGGGAGCTGGTGGAATCTCCATCCCTGGAGGAGTCTAAGAGATGTGGAGATGGTGCTGAGGGACATGGGTTAAGCTCTGGATGTGGTAGAGTTGGGTTATGGCTGGTAGAGTTGGGTTATAGTTGGTAGCATTGGGTTATGGTTGGTAGAGTTGGGTTATGATGGAATCATAGAATGGGGAAGACTGGAAGGGACCTTAAAAATCATCAGGTTCCAACCTCCCTGCCAGGAGCAGGGACACCTCCCACCTGACCAGGCTGCACAAGCTTCATCCAACCTGGGCTTCAACACCCCCAGGGAGGGGCATCAACAACCTCTGTAGGCAACCTATACCTGGAATGATGGGTTGTGGTTGGTGGAGTTGGGTTGTGGTTGGTAGAGTTGGGTTGTGGTTGGTGGAGTTGGTTTAATGGGATGTAGAGTTGAGTGATGGTTGGACTCGATCATCTTCAAGGTCTCTTCCAACCAGAACCATTCTGTGATGCTGTGTGATTCTCTAAGCTCCTTTAGGAGGCTGATGGGGTGGAGGTAAAACTGCTCAGGGCTGGGTCCAGCTGCCTGACATGGTGGCCTCAAGGTCCTAGACCAGGCGTGGTGGGGCCAAGGAGGGAAGGGTTGAGAGAGGAGCTGCCCCGTTGGACTTTCAGGGTTGCAGCAGCTCCCCAGGTCCCTCTGGAGGATGCAGCCCTTAAGGGTTGAGAGGATGGTGGTCAACACCAAGAACTTCACCTGCACAGACTCCAGGGGGGTCTCACCAGAGGAGAGCAGAGGGGGGACAATCCCCTCCCTGGGCCTGGTGGCCACATTGGTGGTGACACAGCCCAGGACACAGATGATTTCTGGCCTTCAGGGCACATTGTTGTCCCGTGTTCAGCTTCTCATCCACCTTCATCTGTCTCCTCCACTGCAACACATCAGAATTGATGACTCTCTGTCCCTGCAGAAGAAGGATGTGGACATCTTGCCCCTTCATCCTTTCCCTATTTGCTTTAGTCCTTCTCCTGTCAGGTAAGGAAACCTCTTTCCAGTGGGTTAAAGAGACACCATTTCTTTCTGCCACCCAAAGAAGTAGCAAATGGTCCAACAGAGCCATCCCATCATGGCTTGACCACTTGCACAACCACCCTGGTGGGAATCCACAAAGCCCTGTAGGACCAGGCAAGCAATGGGACCTGGAGACACTCATGTCATGGGTGCTGGGAGGTCAGTGCAGGCTCCCTTGCCTCTCCTCCCTGTGAACATCCTGCTGGGGAGCAAGAGGGACATCTTTGAGCTCTTGGGGAGGCAGGAGAAATAGCTGCCTCCCATGCTAGGCAAGAGGAGGAAGGCTTGGGGTTGACTCCTTCCCTTGGTGCTCCAACCAAGCAAGGCTCTGCCTGCTGCCTTCCTGCTCCTCAGCTTCCCGTGGGGATCAGCAGGAAGGGTGTGCAAGCAGCAGTCCTGGCTCTGCTCCAGGTGCCCAGCTCCACTTCCAGGGCCTCAGGGAGCTTCTTTTGTCCTGTCTGAAGGTGGTGAAGGGAAAACATGTTCTAACCAACCATGGTTTTGTTCCAGGGCAACCAGGAGTGCTGAACAAGATGGAAAAACAAAGTAAGAGACAACAGCTCATCCCCTGGTTACTCCTTCCACATCCCCCAAGGTGGATCTTCCCCTTCAGGAGAGTTGAGGACACAGGACAGACCCAAGGGGAGGGGCTGGTAGGATGAGGGATGCTTCTCCATGGGGGTTTCCTGTCCTTTTAGGATGTCCCTTGCACGTGATGGGCCCCCATCCTGGTGTCTCATCAACTGCACAGGAGTTCAGGTTGGGCTGGAGGCTTGAGACCCTCTTGGTCAGTCCCAGGATTGATTATCAGGCCAAAACGACCAAGTGGCACATCTGTGACTTCTGTTTCTCCTCACAGAATCACAGTCTAGGTGGGGTTGGAGATGTCTCCAGGGATGGAGGCTCCACCACCTCCCTGGGCAGCCTGGCCCGGGGCTCTGGGACCCTCAAGGTCAACAAGTTCCTCCTCGGCTTCAGGTGGAACCTCCTGAGCTCCAGTTGGTCCCGTGGCCCCTTGTCCTGTCCCTGAGAAGAGCCTGGTCCCCCCTCCTGCCCCCCCTGGAGATCCTGCCCAGCCTTGAGGAGACCCCCCCTCAGGCTCCTCCTCTGCAGCTCAACAGCCCCAGCTCCCCCAGCCCTTCCTCCCCAGATGCTCCAGCCCCTCAGCATCTTGGGGGCCTTTGCTGTCCCCTCTCCAGCAGCTCCTTGTCCTCCTGGGGAGCCCAGAACTGCTCCCAGTTCTGCAGACGTGTCCCCCCCAGAGGGGCAGAAGAACCTCCCTCCCCTCCTGCCCACCCCCCAGCAGCCCAGGGACCTTCCTGGCCACCAGGGCACATTGTTGGCTCATGGTCTCAACTTCCTCTCTCTTTTCCAGGTACAGAAGTTATCTGCCACTGTTCTCAAGGTAAAACCATGTTGAATGTTTGTTGGTCGTGGCTGGTTCTCTGTCCAGGTTCTCTTCGGGTTGGGAAAGAGAGGGTGAGCTCTTGCTTGTTCCACCCATCGTGGAGGTCCCTCCAGAACCTTGGGCAGAACATGGTCTGTACTGGGACTTGGCTTTGTGTTCTCCTTGGTCCCACTCTCTGCTGCCTCCCTTGAGGTGAGGAACAGCTGGAGAAGCAGGGTCTGTGTGATGGGAGAAGGTTGAGGGGAGGACTTATCAGTGGCCACAAGTATCCAAGGGTGGGTGCAAGGAGGATGGAGCCTGACTCTTTGCAGTAGAGGTTCCAGCACAGGCTGGAACATGAGAAGTTCCATGGAAAGATGAGGGAAAACTTCACAGTGAGACTGACAGAGCCCTGGGCCAGGCTGCCCAGGGAGGCTGTGGAGTCTCCTTCTCTGGAGATACTCCAGACCCACCTGGATGCAGATCTGTGTGATGTGCTCCAGGTGATCCTGCTCCAGCAGGGGAATTGGACTTGATGATCTCAAGAGGTCCCCTCCAACTCTGATTCCAAGTCCATGATTAATTACCACATTCCCCCCCAAAAAATAGATGTTCTGAGCCACCTAAAAGACTAGATGATCCATGTGTTTCTCCTTCCATGAGCAGTTCTTTTCTTTTTTAAAAAAATAAATGCAGGTTGGTCAGCACCATCCATTGTAATAATAGTCCTGGAAGCCACCATCATCATCCTGATCCTTGGCCTATGCTACTGTCTCCAGAACTTGAAAAATAAAGGTGAGATGCCAGAGAAACCCTCTGGTGATTGGTCAAGAACTTCACATTCTACCATAATTTGGTGATTAAACCCCAATAGAATCATGAAACCATGTCAGAGAATCATGGGATGGGTTGGGTTGGATGGACCTTCAAGATCATTTAGATCTAACCCCCCTGCATGGGCAGGGACCCCTCCCAGCAGCCCAGGTTGCTCCAAGCCCCATCCAACCTGCCCTTGGACACCCCCAGGGTTGGAGGAACCACCTTGAAGATCATCTAGTGGGTCATCCAGGTGGGCTTTAAGGTCCCTCCCAACCAAAACCATTCTACAATTTAAAGACCATCCAGTCCCACCATGGGCAGGGACACCTCCCACCAGCCCAGGTTGCTCCAAGCCCCATCCAACCTGCCCTTCAACACTGCCAGGGATGGGGCAGCTACAATTTCTCTGGCCAGTGTCTCTCTTGGGCCACCACTTCTCCCCTTGGCTCAGCAGCAAGGGCACAGAACCTTGACCACAGAGCCTGGTCAGCAACAGGGTTCCTCAGACACAAGAACATCCCACCAGCCCCTGGTGAACACACCCTGGGCCAGAAGACCAGACAAGGACTCCAGAATGAGATCACCAAGCCCTATCCAAGCAGGGGTGGAGAAGACCCTGCTGAGGTCTCCCTTGGTGGCAGCAAAGTCTTTCTTGTTCATCTGAAGTCACAACCACCCATAGTTGTTGGTGCTTCTTTTGCAGGGCAGCTCTCGTCAGGTGAAGGTGAATCTTCACTTCTCCTTGCCAAAGACCCCTCCAGAAGTACCTGTAGATATGGTGGGGATGCCTGTATGGAGACATCAGAGATTCCACAGGGTTGGGAGGGACCTCTGGGGAACATCCAGTCCAACCTCCAGCTAGAAGAGTCACCTCCAGCAGATCCCACAGGAACACATCCAGGTGGGTTTTGGGATGTCTTCAGGGATGGAGACTCCACCACCTCTATGGGCAGCCTGTCCCAGGGCTCAGGGTCACAGAATTGTCCAGGAGGGGTCTCATCAGGACAGAGCAGTTGGGGACAATCCCCTCCCTTGACCTTCTGGTCACGATGCTGTAGATGCAGCTCTTTAGAACATGCCAAGTATGGTCACCCAAACTGGTGGCTGAACTTCCCCCGCCCAAGTTGGATTCCCTGGGAACTCCTCCCTGTGGAAGAACCTCCTCATGAGCTCCCACACTCTCATTCCCCTCCTGACCATCTCCTCCAGCAAGGTGAGGGAAGGAGATAAAGAGAGAATTGATGCCACTTTGCTGGCTGAACTTCTCCTCTGAGGTTCCTTCAGTCCAGAGGAGCATCCCTGGGAGACACCAGGGATTTGCTGCTGGTCCCTGACATCAAGGAAGGTTCCCCCAGGTGCCTCCACAGTGACACAAGTGGGGAGGACATGCTAGGAACCATGACCTTCCAGTCTTGCCAAGGGGCTTGTTCACACACTTGAAAGAGTCCATGGATGGACTCAACTTCTCAGGAGGGTCCCAGGTCCAGTAAAGTCCTCCAGGCCACACTTCTTCCACCACCTCTCACTGCCTTTCTTCTCTCCTCTGCAGACCTCCTTGAGAAGATGACAAGTGAGTGCTGCTTGCTGTGGAGGAGGCTGCCCTGGCCAAGGGGCACGTTCCCCACGTGTCCACCTTCCCCCTTCCCAGATCCAGCTCCTCCCCATGTCTCCCTAATAAAGTGACTTTTCTCTTCCTCTTGTAGCCCAGCACCAGAAGGAGAAGGGTAAGTGGTCTCTGCTGCATCTGTCTTGGTCTTCTGGAAGGAGAAGATCCTTCCAAGAAAGACTTCTTGGTGTCCTTGGGGACCTTTCAGCAGGTGCCCATGCTCAGGCCACCCAGCTCAGGGCTTCAGGTGTGGCTGGAATCCATTTGATGGGCTTGTCCTTGGAAATGGACCTTGTGGGAATGGGGGTAG